TATGATCTGATGCACCTGAATCAATGACCCAAGACTCAGAGGATGAAGATTGGGAGAAGCAAGCCACGCTATTACCTGTTTGAACAACAGAAGCTATCTCAGAAGATGTCTGCCTACATGCTTTGTACTGAAGGAACTCAATATAATCTGCTAAAGAAACCATCCGACTATTCAAAGCATCGGTTCCCATGTCACTACAATTTGTAATAGTAGGGTTAACTTGAAATAGTGGAAATAAGTAACTCCTGTGAGAAAACTGAAGAAATAGCTTGAAAAACACTGTTTATAGCAGGAAAACAGATCACTGTCTTGCGCCGAAAACACTGTGGAAACACTGTAGCTCGCCGGAATCTACTGTAGCTGACGGTAAAACTCAAACTGGTCGGAATGAAACAAAACCAGTGAGGGTAGGATCGGAATTACCAGGCGATCCTACTGTTCAACTGGAACTTTTTCAAAATCTGGCCGGAACAGTGCTCACGCGCCGGCGTGTGGGTCAGATCGCGCTGAAATTTTTTTTCTTTTCCAGGTGCGTGAGGGCGCGTGGACGTGTGTTTTCCGGTGGGGTTGACTGGGATTTGGTCGCCGGAGCGTGAGGAGTCTTGTGGTGGTGTTGATTTTTGCACAACACCAACAGAAAGTGATTTGCTTACGGACAACCTTCTAAGTCGCCGGAAAATTACACGGCGAAGAGGTCTTTCTTCCCGGAAGTCGCTGGAATGATGTACAACGACGAGTTTCTCACTAATGTTCTGATACCATGCGAGAAAGCACGGGAAAAAATATGTTATTGATATTGGATAATTAATACAATACAAGAGGTTCCTATTTATAGCTATACACTACAAGAAGATATTACTGCTCTTTCAATGTGGGACAAGACTACACTATACATATCTGTAAACTAACAGGGAGAATTTCTAGCCTCCCAAACTTGAGGAACCCCCAATTTGAGTCTTTGCAAATGTAAAAGTTAAATACATTGGTTATCCATTGCTTATCCGTTTTTTAAGTGGATAATATGGTTCTTATCCATATTTGACCCATTTTTAAATAGTTCACTATCCAACCCATTTTTTAGTAGATAATATGGATGGATAACTATTTTTTTAAAACGTTCTGCCACCACTAGTTGAAAGTGAAGCTGCGCTGGTTCAAACACGAGCTTCTGACACGCGGAATATGTGTATGAGGCATTTTTGACACAATACAGAAGCACATAACTAACGCTCACATACCCAGAAAAATCTAATAAATATTTAATACCATGAGACATGCATAGAGATAGTTTTGCATTATAATTAGTTTTCTCAGTTTTTCGCTTCAGTAAGATGCTTGATCCTCCACCTTTCTCTTTTTATCCCGCTTCAAAATTGAGTTCATCTGGAAAGTTTCAAAATTCTAAATTGACCTTATTGCTAAAGAAAAAAAAATAAAGACATCGGACTTTTAAATGTATCTGTTCGAGGAGTGAGTACACACTTAAGACCTATGAATGATGTGTGAATAAGTTTTCATGGTCAGAAAAAAATAAAATAAGAAAGGTGACCTAGATGTAACATTGTTTTTGGCATGACGGCATGTCCCTGGACTGTCCGATGTGTTCCTGTCAGACACTACTTCCGACATGGATGGTGAAACCATTCTAACTGCCTTAGCTTAAGTTGGAAACCAGATTTGAACTTTATAACGAGGCATAGTGCAACAGAGCCAAACTTGCATTACATATCGATGTCTTTGCCTATAGATGCTGGTGACCATTTCTCTAGTTGCTTGAGATTCTCAAAACATTGATCTACTTATGTTTTTTGGTATAGTTCCTTCCGTTCTTTTTCTAAATTATTAGACAAATCATTTCAACACATAAAGGACAACTTGCAATGTTCACTTCTTCAAAGTAGCAACGATCTTAGAGCATTTAATATCTTCATGTCATCGACAATTACTACTTTCTTGTCTGTTAAGTTGCTGGAAGTTGTGTAGTATTTATCTATTGCATTTCTGCTGTATTATTAGCTGACCTTGATTTTGTTGTTGCGCAGGTCTACTATGTCTATGGTTTTATGCTTCTTGTATTTATTATCCTGATCATTGTCACTGTTTGTGTGACAATTGTGGGCACATATTTCTTGCTGAATGCGGAAAACTACCATTGGCAGTGGACTTCGTTCTTCTCTGCTGCCTCAACAGCTCTTTATGTGTATTTATATGCGATATATTACTATCATGTAAAGACTAAGATGTCCGGTTTCTTCCAGACCAGCTTTTACTTTGGCTACACTATGATGTTCTGCCTTGGCCTCTGTATCCTTTGTGGTAAGATATATATTATTTGTATGTCTCAAGTCAATACAGAATCTGGCGGGTTTCAATTAAATTCTTCATCCCTGTCATGGATTTAAGTTCTGACTTTAAATTATTCTTTCTTGATTTGTTTGGAAATCCAGGTGCTGTAGGATATCTCGGCTCTAATTTGTTCGTTAGGAGGATTTACAGAAATATCAAGTGTGATTAAGTGCCTAAATGAAGCAATATTGAAACGCTGCGCCACAGTTTTGCATGCCTGCCACTTGAGAGAAGAGTTCAGAGGATTTCCAGATAATACCACAGCAATTTGGTCACCTAATGTGAATGAAGATTATTTTGAGAAGAGGATAGAAAATTAGTTTTTATTTCCAATTTTCTGGTTTAGAATGGGTGAAAGTGTTTAGTAAGTTCTGTGGGAGGAAACACTGGAAGATTGTTTCTTAGTGCATAGATAATATTACTTACATTTGTTATTACTTGAAAGGACATAATCAACACTGTATTTTGGAATACGTTGAGAATCATTTTATGATGAAGCAACATATTACTTCAATTGCTTAAAAATGTTTCTTAGGTTCTTTTTCTTTCATTCCCTC